GCAAGATGTTGCAATCCAAATACTTGAGACTTGTTTCCCTTGTAGTTTTTTTCAGAAAAACCAATGCACTTTACAAGTAGCACACTACCACTTTTCTGTTATGATGAAATTAATAATAATTAATAAAAATCAACACATTACAGGCACTATGCTCAGGAACTTATATATTTCATTTAGTCATCCTAATGCTTTAAGGCAGGTGATATTATCATCCTTACTTTGTAAATCAGCTACTCCTGATGCAGCCTTGTCTGACTGATCCTGGACTATCTGATCCCAGACCCTGCACTAACTTCAAGTCAAAAATTCCAGTCCCCATCCTCACGCGGATTCTCCGGGCCATCTTGGCATGACTTCTCCGAAGTCACTTCCTCATCCCCATAATGAAATCATTTTATTACACGTTTTCTCAAATTGTGGGTTGAGATCCATTAGTGGATCTGTGGTGGATTTCTTACCACAGGTCATGTTTTCTTTAAGTTAGCAAAACAGTGGATTATATTATTTCTAAGGATCTGCCTAGGTCTGAAGTCCTCAGATGAGGAAAATGAACTTTACACAGGTCATTAAAAAAACAGATTTTCATTTATTTTAGATATCAGGGGGGATGGGTATTTATTAACGGCATAAGAAAAGACTTAGTCATTTCTGCCCCAAAGTCCATCAACTGATGAACAGATAAAGAAGATGTGGTGTATGTATATACAATGCAATATTATTCAGCCATAAAAAAAGAATGAAATCTTGCCATTTTCAAAGATGTGGATGGAGCTAGAGAGTATCACGCTAAGTGAAATAAGTCAGAGAAAGACAAATACCATATGATTTCACTCATATGTGGAATTTAAGAAACAAAATAGATGATTGTGGTGGGGGTGGGGGAGGGGAGGGAAAGAGAGAGGAAAACCAAGAACCAGACTCTTAACTATACAGAACAAACTGATGGTTATCAGAGAGGAGGTGGGTGGGGGTGTGAGTGAAATAGGTGAAGGGGAGTAAGGAGCGCACTTGTTGTGACGAGCCCCAGGTGATATATGTAAGTGTCAAATCACTATATGGGACACCTGAAACTAATATTACACTGCATATTAACTAGCTGGAATTTTTTTAAAAAATCTAGTAATTTCTTGCAAGTGAAATTTTCTACAGATCTTTTTTTTTTTTTAATTTTTTTTTCAACGTTTATTTATTTTTGGGACAGAGAGAGACAGAGCATGAACGGGGGAGGGGCAGAGAGAGAGGGAGACACAGAATCGGAAACAGGCTCCAGGCTCTGAGCCATCAGCCCAGAGCCCGACGCGGGGCTCGAACTCATGGACTGCGAGATCGTGACCTGGCTGAAGTCGGACGCTTAACCGACTGCGCCACCCAGGCGCCCCTCTACAGATCTTTCTTAGTCACCCATCTCATAAAAATATTGAAGTTTATGCATCATTTTAGAGATGAGCAAGCTGAGCTAAACTCTTCAAGGCAAACTACCCTTCAAAAACTAACGGCAGTGGAAAAAAAGAGATGAAGGGGAAACAGATTAAAAGAGATTTAAGAAACAACTAATTTCGATGTGTAAACTTCAATAAAAAGAAAACAAGGAGGAATATTGAACACTGAATATTCAATACTTTAAATAAGCACTGTTAACTTATATTAGATGTAAAAAGACATTTGATAATATTAAGTAATGTCTGTTAACATTTTACGTGTTTCATGATATTAAAGAACGATTATGAATTTTGTTCATGATAATGCTATTATGGTTATTTGTATATGTATATATTTATTTTAGAGATTAATACTGAATTATTTACCAATGACATGAATGTAATATCCGATTATCACTTTAACATAATCCAAGAGTGGGGCGCCTGGGTGGCTCAGTCGGACAAGTGTTGGACTTTGGCTCAGGTCATGATCTCACCATTCACGTCGGGCACATGGGGCTTTGAGCTCACAGCTGCCAGCAAGGATCCTGCTTCAGATTCTCTGCCTCCCTTTCCCTCTGCCCCTCCCCACCACGTGCATGCTTTCTCTCTCTCTCTCTCTCTCTCTCTCTCTCAAAAATAAATAAACATTAGGGGCACCTGGGTAGCTCAGTTGGTTGGGCGTCTGACTTCAGCTCAGGTCATGATCTCATAGCTTGTGAGTTCAAGCCCTGCATCGGGCTCTGTGCTGACAGCCCAGAGCCTGGAGCCTACTTCAGATTCTGTGTCTCCCTCTCTCTCTCTGCCCCTCCCCCACTCACACTCTGTCTCTCTCTCCTTCAAAAATAAACATTAAAAAAATAAAATAAAATAATCCAGGAGTGAAAGGAATGGATGGGTGTATTAATGAAATAAGATTGGCCAAGAGCTGATGATTGTTTACGCTGGTTGATAGGTATACTAGACTTCATTAAACTATTTTCTTTACTTCGTATATTTTAAAATTGCTGATAATAAAAGATTTTTTTAAATGAACAAAAAAGAAAAGGAAAACTAAAGTAGAAAGAGAAAGCAAAACTTTTTTCTAATAACCTTACTAGCCAGAATGAATGCCAAACTGAGTTCCAAAGTTTTATTCGGTGCCCCTCCATTAAGACGTAGCCCCCTCCCTTTTCTTTTCTATTTTCTAAGCTTCACTCCAACCAGAAGTCATACATCTCCTTGGATTCAAAATAAAAGAGCATTTACAATAAAGATTAGGGGAGAGAGGAGACCCTCCATGAGGCACACACAACATCTCTAGGAGTAGGTTACACACCAAAGTTAGTGAAACTCTCCCCGCTGGGTCATGAGTTAACAGGCCTCCCTCTTCCCATTTCCTATGAATGCACATACACCAACACCCGAGATTATCTTGCTTTCTGCCAGATTCCGTAATTTGAAGATGACTAACTTTAGTATGACAAATGCAGGGTTACAAGGGGTGGGGGGTGGTAGTACGCTGAAAACTCCACAGTCCTTCTCTGTGGTGCTTCATCTGTGGAAATCCAATCATGTCAACATTAACATGAAAGGAGTAAGGTGAGGTCTCTTGGGGGATCTCACTGGATTGTAAAGCTTTCATTCAGAGCCAGAGGCTGCTCCTGGTTCCCCATTAGCTGGCCTCCCTGAGTAATGAAGCTTCAGGTAAAAGCTGGTGGCTGCAAACTACCGACCTTGGAGGAGATACTGCAAAAAGAAAATATCTGCCTGCCTTTGCTGACCTGTCACCTGTTAGGAGGTTTGGTACTTTCCCCCTTTCTCCATTTCTGGACCAGGTTTCTCTACCATTTCATCCTGCTCAACTAGGGCAAAACTGTACAAATCTAATTTGTAATTTTTTAAGTATCTGGGTTGTTCTACTGGCTGGAACACACTTCTAAAACAGGAGAGGGATGCCTGGGTGGCTCAGTTGTTTGAGTGTCTGATTCTTGATTTTGGCTCAGGTCATGATCTCACAGTTGGTTGAGTTTGAGCCCTGCATCAGGCTCTGTGCCGACAGCGTGGAGTCTGCTTGGGATTCTCTCTCCCTCACTCTCTGCCCTTCCCTGGCTCATTCTCTCTCTCTCTCTCTCTCTCTCCATCTCAATAAATAAACAAATAAACATTAAAAAAAAAAAACAATAGAACACCTTGTAGATTAATCAGTTTTGGTGTTAGGGGTTCCTGAGAGTGATACTGAACAAGTTTATTATTTTTCTTAGTTCTCTCATTGGAAATAAAAAGTGGATAATACCTATTTCAGAGAGTTGCTTCAGACACTAACATGATTAATATCTGTAAAAACGTTAGGTTTTAGCTTAACTCGCTGAATACTTATTAGTTCCCTTTTGAATTACCTGCGTGAAACCCATTAGGTGTTGCTAAAATATGAAAGAAGGGCTAGATTCTAGTGAGCTGGACTTTGAACTTAGAAACGTGAACTTCCCCAATTCTCACACAGAATAAGAAGGTGGATTCTAGTCCAAGTCCAAAACATGTTCTACCCCAAGCAGCAAAAGAGACTTCACCTTCAAAACAGTTTTGTGTCTATTAAATACCACCTTTCCCTCTTCATTAACATCTCTTTCCTCCTATAATTTGCCTTTCTTCCTTTCTCTGCTCCTCGCGCTCTCAAATTACACTCCCAATAACTAACACTCCCAATAATTAACAACAGCAACAAAAGACAATATGCGAGATACGTTTTGTTGTTGTTGTTGTTGTTGTTGTTCACACTTTTGACATACCCCAGACATAAAAAAAACCGGAACACTATGGAATTAATACAGCTTGGAAAGCGAGTAAAGGTTAGTGACTCAGTGTTAGGAAGGATGCCAGCAACAAAGGTCAGCCGAGGATAAAGAATGAATCCCAAGAATGACAAAGCTTCCATTACTCCAAAGATTTGAAGTCAGCGATCTCTCTGAGCCATGTGGCCAATTGTTTCACTGCTGGTTTTAATTGTTTGAAGTGGAAAGAGTATCATATTTGCAGTCCGTAGTAATCTGTTCCTTGAGAATTCCTCCAAATAAAGAGCTTAGCAACAGAATTGCTGGAGTTATTGTGCTAATTCTCCTTGGTTTAATACTAAACCATGGAACAAATGAAACCACCCTGGCCTTTCTCCAACCTTTACAGATGTCTCATTCTTGCTCTTCCATTTCTTCTCCTCACCAACACCATCTATCCCTCCCCCTTTTTTTTTCTTCCTAAATCATATCTCTGCAGGTGCCAACTGTGTGACCACCCTGTGACCTCCAATAGTCGCCAAGGGGCAAATACTCATAATAAACAATTCAGTCCAAAAGTATTTGTGCATGGTTTACTCCGCTAAGCACCAAACTCTGCCTGTTTGTGCCACTAAAAGAGTGCACCCGGAGTTCCCCAAGAACAATCCTAGTTCCTCACGCTTCACTCTTGGTTGGGCTGAGGTCAAGAGAGAAGTGGAAACAAAATCTTCCAGCAGCACCCTCCCCCTGGCTAGAAGTACATCCCACCACACAGAGATGGTAGCCAAGTCTTCATTCCTTCAGTTTCCCCTCCAGGAAGGTCCTCACTCACCTAACTCTTCCATTGTCACGCACCCCAAGATGCGCTGGTCCCACACAGGTTGTGAGGAACTGTTTTAGCATGTGCTGAAGAGGACTGCAAAGGAACTGAACGAAACAGCATGAAGCAGCCTCTATAACCCTTTTTGGTTCCTGTATTTGCGTAGCACTTCCTCTCTTTTGATTTGGTGAGTTTTTTTTTTTCTTTTCTTTTTGAAAAGTTAGGGTTCTAAAAATGGGACATAGAAAGATGGGTAGTAGGATTTGAGTTCTGTTAGTGCATTGGACAGGGTGATAAAGATTCAAAATTAACTTTGAAAAAATTGAACTCCTACTATGTGCCAGGATTCATCTTGAATTCATGGGAGTGGCAGATTTGTACGTTTCCTCCAGTGTGGCTGGAGCATCAGAAAACCTGCTGTGTGTGAGTGTATGTGAGTATGTGTATGCGTGTGTGTGCACATAAAGCTGGGGACCACAAAGGCAGTTTCCTTCATAAAATTTCCATCAGTTAACCAGCACCCAATTCGTTTTGCTGTCTTCATTCACTTAATTATCCTGAAACTATGCTTCCCTGCTTTCCTGAATAGACTGTAAATCCATTAAAAGCAGGGCAGAGTAGTAGTCACATTTAGATTTTCAGGGCCTGGCTACGTCTGTGGTCCAAAACACAACCAACTATAGCAGTCATGAAGAATGAAATGGGAAGACAAGACACAAGGCGTTAAGCTGCAGATGTCTCAGTGAAGCACAATTTCTGCTTAGCTATGTTGCTTTCTAGCAATTTCTCTGAAAAAGGACACTGAGATTAACTTTCATCTTTTACCACTCTGATTTTACTCACCTTGAATGAAATAGAACATTTACAAAAGGCCTCCTATGAGAAGGCAGTGTGTGAAGAACTATAATTATGGCCCTGTGAAACAGATATTATTATCTCCATCTCTACCAGTAGTGAAATAAATTCAAGGAATGGTAACTTGAGGAAATTAACAGAATTATAGGTAGCTTTACTATTTACTATAATCCAGAGAGAGAGAATCTAAAGCAGGCTTCTCACTGTCAGTGCAAAACCCGAGGTAGGGCTCAAACCCACCAACCCACGAACTGTGAGATTGCAACCCATGAATTGTGAGATCGTGACCTGAGCTGAAGTCAGATGCTCAACCAACCGAGTCACCCAGGCGCCCCAATCCAGATTTAGTTTCAATGCCTGTGATCTTTCCTCTGCAATCCAGTGGTCTTTTTTTTTTTTTTTTTGGTTGATCTAAAGGAATTATTGATTCTTTCATTCCCTCCTGACACAAAGATTTTTTTTTTTTAATCAAAAGATTCCCACTCTGCATTACTTTGAGCAGCCATTGGATGTCAGTGCTGTTCCAAAAGTCCAGATGGGTTTGAAAAAATTCCCATCCACACTAATCTGTAGTTTTTACAACTGAAATGTCACTAGTCCTATGAAAGTGCAGAACACTCGACAGCAAATATGCCATTTGCCTCATCTGAACTGGTAACTAAGCCAAGACACCGAGGAAAAATGCACTTCAGCACTTGGCTTGCAAATATTAGACTCCATCTGCAGTTTAACTTAATGATTTATGTGAAATTTAGAATTGGATCCCCAGATCTTGTTTCCAACTGCTTTCTCTGGGGGGTTTTAACCCTGGATGTTTTATTTTCTAGGGGTAAGAACCATTCTCTCACATCGCTTCCTGGGTATAGTTCATGAAAAGCAGTAAGGAAGGAATGCAGGAGTCACTGACTGCAACTTGGAAAACAAATGGAAACTCCCATTTGACGCATTAGGATAATATAGTTGCATACGCTAGTGAACAGACAGGTAATTTCTGACAAAGCTGCTATTCTGACCGTGCTTCCTGTGCAGCAGAAACATTCAAAACCACAGAAGCCAAGTGGCTTTGAGGGAGGGAGCATGAAAGAGGCCTTGGGTTTCTCTGAGTAGGTCACAGAATCATGATAACAACCCTTCACCCTACCCCCTTCCCTGCAGCCCAGGGACCACAGCCAAGTTAGGCAGCTGACGCCAGCTCCTTGGCACCAACATCTGGTAAAACAGCAACTCTAGAATCCTTTCCGCAAACTTTTATTTAAAAAAAAATTTTTTTTTTTTACCGTTTATTTTTAATAGACACAGAGAGACAGAGTGCGAGTGGGGTAGAGACAGAGAGAGAGGAAGACACAGAATCCAAAGCAGGGTCCAGGTTCTGAGCTGTCAGCACAGAGCCCCACGTGGGGCTGGAACCCACCAGCTGTGAGATCATGACCCGAGCTGAAGTCCCAGGCTTAATGGACTGAGCCACCCAGGCGCCCCTCCACAGACTTTCATTAAGAACCAAATGAGTGGTGGGTTTGTGCTATGCGCCAAGCACCCGACGGATCCAGATTCAGTGCCTGACCTCTAGGAGCTCACGGGTCACACATAAGATGACGAGGCGTATACTGCAAACATGAACGCTAGGAGGTGCAAAGTAACCAACCCAGGCCACTGTGAACGTGGCCACCCAAGAAATGTGTCGCCAACACCGATTCCAAAGTCGGGAAAACAGTCCTAAGCTATCCCAACCAGCAACTGCCCCGACAACCCAGCTGGGATCTGTGCAAGTTTCGCGGCCTAACCCGGAAATACTACCTCCTTGAAAGAACAAACGCCCACTGCAGAACGAGTAAACTACCTTTCCCATCGTGCATCACTCAAAACCTCCCAGCATCCTCTACGCCTCCGGTTGCCTGTCGTCTTTTCCTAAAGCTCAGGATATTCAGGACTTCATCTCCCAGGATGCCTTTTGACAAGTTGACCCTGCGCATGCGCCAAGAGGCGGGCCCTCCTTGCCCTCACGACCCCGCCTCTGTTCTACCGCCGCCATTTTTTCAGAGACTTTCATCCGGCAGCCGACGGCGTTTTTTTTCTTAAAGGAGAAGCGACAACTCAAAAAATTTTCCCCTTCTTTCCGCAAGACCTGGCGGCGCTGGGGACAGAAAGGCCACAGACAGGAAAGTGGGGTCGGGGTGGAGGCAGAAGAACGCCAAGGCTACTTCCACGGCTTAAGGAAGAAGGATAGAAAGAGCCCTGTGGCATTAGCGGCTCCTTAGGGAGGCAGGTGCGCGCGCAGCCAGTCCAGGGTGCGCGCGAGGCGGGGAAAAAGGTGCGTTTTCCTCCCACCAATCTCCTCGCGGGACCTGCTCCTCCCACTGCCCCTAGCGCGCGTTGAGCTCGTGGGGCGGGGGAGGGGGGGGAGGAAGGTCACTTTAGGATTGTCGCGAGACGCAGCCGTTTAACGGTGAGAACGGGTGCGCGGGGAAGGAAACCTCGCGCGCTCCCTTAGAGCCGTTTCCTGATTGGTTGAAGGAAGGGGTGGGGGAGGGAACCTGGTACGTCGCTGCGTGAGAGGCCGCGAGGGGCAGGGCGAAGAAGCCGTCCCTCCTCTCCGATTGGTCCGCTTGCGTCTGTGGTGAGCGCGCCACTGTGCCAGCGGGCCTTGAGTGGCAGGGGGGGGGGGGCGCCCTCGGAGCCAGGCGGAGGAGGGGAGAAGAGAGCGCTGAGTGAGATTGAGCCGGACGCTCCGGGAGAAGGGGCAGGGCAGGGGCTGCCGCTTGCCCGCGGCTCCTCCATCCTGCCTGGGACGAGGGGTGGGGGGGACGGACGAGCCCCGATGCCGGGGGAGACGGAAAGAGACCGGAGCAGACAGGCAACAGGACTCCAGAGAAGGGAAGGCGGCAGGCGGCTCCGGAGGAGCCCCAAATGCTCTTTAACCTGAGGCGACGGCGGCGGCAAGCGCGGCGCCCAGAATCACTAGCGGGACCGCAACCGCGTGCTGAGGGGAGGTCGGGACCGGGGCCGGGCCGCTGCGGCCGCCGCCGCCGCCGCTGTGTCTCGCCGGAGGAAGGCCGAGTATCCCCGGCGGCGGAGGAGCAGCCCCAGCGCCAGGCCTCCCGACGCCCCAGGGCAGCAGTCCCAGGCCGCGAAGCCCCCGTCTCCAGCTCAGGGCAAGAAGAGTCCGCGACTCCTGTGAGTAACGCAGTCTTTCAGGCGGTGGGAAGACCCCCTCATCCTGCACGCAACCTTCTCGGCTCCCGTAGCGCCCACTCCACGTGACATCCTGCCTGCTCTGCCCCCTGCCGGCTCGCGCGCCAGATGTCACGCCGCCTCCCTGCTAGCTGTCCCGTCGCTCCTCTCTGGCCCTCCCCCGTGCCCTCCGTCCGCGGGGCCACTTCCCCTCTCCCCGAGGTCGTCCTTTGTGGGATACACCTTTCCTGCGCCTTTAGCGGCCCTCCTCTTCCCCGCCGCCGCAGGCTTCGCCCGCACTCTGGCATCTGCACTCCCTTTGTCAGCCTGTCCCTTCCCCTCGTAAGGCGGCCCTCCAGTATTACATCACATCCCCATTAGGAAATCAACAGCACGGTCTTGGCTTCTAAAGTGTGTGGCCCCAACCCCCCCTTCCCATTAATTAGCTCGAGAGCCAGTTGTATGAGCAGCTTTATGTAGTTTGTTCCACTCTGCTGAATTTTCACATCACGTTTCACTTGTTTGAGGAATCTGGTGCTAAGGAGGGTGAAACGTGGCTCTGCCAATTTTAAGTGTAGTCTTTCACACAGCAGAATCAGATGGGTATCTTTTAGTGGGTTTCCTTTTATTTTATTTTATTTTATTTATTATTTATTTATTTATTTATTTATTTATTTATTTTTAGTTTTCGCTTCTCTGCTTGTGCTTATGCTCCAACGTAGGAACTTCATCCTTAAAAGACAATTCTTCAAGGAATTCTGTTATCACCTAGGGATAATGGAGGGACCAGGAACAAATAGTTAAAGATGTTTCTATGTCGGAAATACTGAGTACGTGTGTTTGTAAATTGTAGAAATTAATCATATTAGCCATTGAATTCGTCGCTGAAAACATTTTTATCTTTCGACTTTCAGGTGAAAAAAAATGGGTAAAAGGGAAAATTGGAGTGGGGGAATTACAGTTTTAAGTGCCCCCTCCCAAAGATAGTGTGGCAAGATTTGGCTTATCCCAAATTTAAAACTTGAAAACACCTCTTCCAAAATTAAAACTTAAGTCTCTGACTTGCATTCTTGTGTTAGAAGCCCCTCAGAAAGAGATAAAATTCAGAGGTGTTAGATGTACTTCAAATTTTTGAATGTTATTTAACATAATCCAGAGAATTTATTGTGTAAACTGCAATTCTGTGAACAAAGATCTGTACATACAAATCATTTGGCTGCGATTGGGATTCTAATTCCTGTAGATTAATTACAGTCACAAAAACTTTTAAGATTGTGTATTTAATCTCACCAGTTTGAAAAGAGCTATCATTACCCTTACTTGGATTAAGTTCCTTGGACAAATTTCTTCAACTGCGTGTGCTTTAGTTTCATTGTTCATAGGAGCTAATGTTAATCCTTATGAGATGAATTAGAATTAAGTACAGCACGTGAAGCACTTAACACAAAGCCTAGTACGTACTACATGCAGCCTTTGCTAAAAGTTAGTTTTGAGTGGTGGTAGCATACCAGAGAGGTAAGCGGTGCGTGGTGGTTTTATGTGAGCTCTGCAAAGTTGGGATTTTTTTTTCCATTTCCTTCTTTTGCCACACCTGGGAAAGTTAATAACCTCATAATACATTTTTAAATGCCCTTCCATTCTCACCTACCCATCTGAGTAAAATATACCTAAACTTCCTTTGCTAATTTCCCTCCCACTTTCCTACCAGTTTTACTTACAGAAATGATGTCTCAACCTGATGACACCCAGTGCAATAGTTTTTTTTTCCATTTCTTTGGTTTTTTCCCCCTAACTCTTGGCAAAAAAAGTACTTACGAGTCTTTTTACTTTAAAACAGTTGAACTTGGATGAAGATGACTTAATTAAATCCCTTCAGTTTTTTTCCTCCATATTATTCCCTGGGGGGAGAAAGATAGAGCCTTAATTCTTAGTGTCCTTCCCTTTTATCCAGTATTGTAAAAGATAGTAGTGTTCTTTTACCTTCTCTTAGCCTCAGAACTGTCTCTTAAAGTTACGCAATTTTGATCAGATTGTTAAAATAAATTTTCCTAGTAATAATTTACTGCATGCCCTAGAAATCAAAGGAGTTCTAAAGCATTTCAGTTAACTAAACCATGATTGAGCAGTAACTGGGCCCGGTACCCTGTTGGGCGAGGCTTTATAAAGGTAAATGAGACATTGTCCTGGTCTTGAAGGACTTTGCAGTCTGAAGGGAAGATGCAGTGATTAGTGCAGGTTTGTGAAACATGTATGCATGGTTTACGGATTTTCAGAGTGATAAAGTAAACTTTAAAACTAATCAGTTAAAATTATTTAACCGTTCAAGATATTTCAAAAGGTTTTTTTCTTTCTTTTTTTTTTTTTTCATGTTTGTTTATTTTGAGAGAGAGGTGGGGTCAGGAGGGAGGGACAGAGAGAGAGGGGGAGAGATAATCTCGTGCAGGCTCAATGGTGTCAGTGCAGAGCCTGACACAGGGCTCAGTCTTGGGGCTCAGTCTCGCAAAGCATGGGATCATGACCTGAGCTTAAATCAAGAGTTGGATGCTTAACCACATTACCCACTGAGCCACCCAGGCATCTCTCGTGAGGTTTTGAGTATCAGTTTACTGAACCCTGGTCAAGTATTCTCTGACCTTCTTCTCTATTTTCCTAACAACGTATGGCAATTTTTTAAAAAGAAGGAAGAGATTTAATCTCTGTCTTAATTACTTGTTCTTTTCAGGTTCTTTTACATATTCCAACGTTTCCTCCTATAAATTCTCAGTAATAGCTGTTTCACCTACATTTGTTTCTCTTGATTGAAGAGACAGCAAAGTGTACAGTAGTTTAAAAGGTTAATAGCTACAGGGATTTGGATTGTTTGAAACCTCTTTTTTTCTTAGAAGGCAAAGTAATGAAGTAGAAAAAGATTGGACTAGATAGTTTCTGCTCCCAGCTTTCTACTACTCACTAAGTGACCTTGGGCAAGTTACTTAAGCTCTTTAAATTAGTGTCTTCATCAATAACTGACAATTTATGACTTGTGCAGTTAGCTTTATAATTAAGTGATAACTAGGTTACAGTTTTTAATATACATTTATGCTTGTAACAATGTTTTCGTTTACATTGAAACATTCAAAAGTTAATGAACAGGAAATCCTTATGGAAGGAAATGATTTTTCAGTGAATTTGCTCAAAAGAAAGGCATAAAGTTAAATGCTAGAAACATTTTAAAATAAAACTTGAAGGCTAATTACAAGAAAAGATAAACCAAATATGAAGAAAGGTTTTTATATCAGTACTATTGAAGAATTTGGTTCATCATTTGCTGTATTTTGGCCAATAAGCTTAAGAGTTCAGATTCTTACATTTTAATTGCAGATGTTTATATACATGTCTAATTTTTATTTTATTAATAACATTTTTTAAATGTTTATTTTTGAGAGAGATAGACACAGTGTGAGCAAGGGATGGGGCAGAGAGAGAGAGAGGGAGACCCAGAATCTGAAGCAGGCTCCAGGCTCTAAGCTGTCAGCATAGAGCCTGATGTGGGGCTCAGACCCACAAACCGTGAGATCATGACCTGAGCCAAAGTTGGACGCTTAATCGACCGAGTCACCCAGGCACTCCTAATCCACGTCTCATTTTAAAGTATATGTACATTTCTCGGGGTGCCTGGGTGGTTCAGTTGGTTAAGTGTCTGACTTCTGCTCAGGTTATGATCTCATGGTTTGTGAGTTCTAGCCATGCATGGGGCTCACTGCTGTCAGTGCAGATCCCACTTCAGATCCTCTGTTCCCTTCTCTCTGCCTCTCCCCGCCACTCTCCCATGCTCTCGCTCTCTCTCTCTCTCTCTCTCTCTCTCTCAAAAATATTTTTTAAAAAAACTGTATGTACATTTCTACCATTTTTTTTCTGAACTCATCAAGTTAAAACATCTGCTTTTTACTAATACGGAAGCTAATTCTTAAACTAAAAGTAGGTTAGATTGCAAAAAAGGCTTCTTTTTGTTCTACCATGATCATAAGGCCTGTGTTTAGCCAATGCACTTCGTGTAAAACTTCAATAAATACTTTTTTAAACTTATAGCTATTGAGTAACCCTATTGGCTAAAATGGAGTATTCTTAGAGGGACTACTACAGGTTTCGGGGGAGGTTATAAATGAAGGAAACAAATATTGCTCTATTTTCTGGTACATGGCATTCCATTTTTGGTGTATTTTCTTGCTTAAAGTAAAATGGTAGTAAACCTTTGGGTGACACTTTCTTGCTATTTCCTTTTGTAAGGTGTCATGATAATGGGAATGAAAAGGCAGTAATATTCTGAATTGAAACAGCTTTTGAGACTCTTTGGAGAAAGCTCCAGTTGTAGAAGTTTAAAATTCTGAGCCTTCCTCTTATGGTGATCAATATGGTAATAGAAACATGTTAGCATTCCAAACGGTTTTTGGAAAGTTTATTGCATAGTTTCAAAATTTAGCAATTAAATCTGTACTTCTCCTTTAGAGTTAGGATGATTAGCAGTTATCTTATGTTAATTATTAACTGGGATGTTGATAATATAATTTAAAATAAAGTTATAATACCAAGCTTTAAAAAAAAAAGTGGGATGAGAAAATGATAGCTGTTCTTTCTAAGGAGAACAGATTTTTGTATTATGCTATGGCTTCTGTATTTGGACATTCTTTTATTACATAAGATTTTCATTTATATCAGGGTTACTTTCAAAAAATAAAAAAAAAACCAAACCAACTTTGTACTGCTTCAGAAATACTGTGTGACATCTTTACAATACAGATCCAAGACCTGAGGACTTTTGAATTTGGGTAATGACTCCAGGGGCAGGGGTTCATTTTACCACACTCAACAGTTATGAATGATAGAAATGTTAACAAATTTAAGACAAGATAGTAACATTTTTAAAAATCCATTTATAACACATAAAACTCTTTGCTGTTGCTATCTAATTTGTAAAGTACAAATTATATTTATTTCTAAGATCCAGTCTTTTGCCTTTGTAGAAATAGATTTTGACTTGGGTATAACAAATGAATAATTTGGGGTTTTCTGTTAGGTACATTAAATTTTTCTTATGAAAATTGTCAAGTATACACAAAATAGAGAAAACAGTACAGTGAAATCTCCATAGTTGTCAAGATTTTGCTCGTTACCTCTATCTCCCTTCTCCTCCCCGCTTTTTTTGACAGACATACCTTAGAGAAAATCTCAAACGTTTTATTTCACCCCTAGTTACTGCATTTAGTAAAATAAGGACATTTTCTTACATAACCACTTAATATAATCAGCAATATTTCCTTTGTATTAATCTTTTTATAGTTAGAAACTGTCTTGAAGAATACTGTAGCTGTGTGCTATCAGATATGATAGCTATTTAAATTTACATTAATCAAAATTAAAAATTCACTTCCTCAATTACTTAAGCTGTTCCAAGCACTCAGTAGCCACATGTGACTATCATATTGGAAAGTGCAGATATATAGTATTTTCATCATTGCAGAAAGTTCTATTGACCACACTACTCTAGGTGCTTTCTGCATCACTCTGGAGATGAACCTGAAAGAGATAAATATCTGTGTTTTAAGAAAGTGTGCAAGATTGTTCTTTTAATAGTTGATTCTCATTTCTTTCAGATGCGTGGACAAAGTAACAACTGACAAAGGTAAGACTTGATCATTCTTATCTGTCATGTACATTACACTGGTTGTTTTATAATCTGATAGAAAATAGAATAAACTGCAGCCTAATGATTCAGATTGTTCTCATTTAAAAGTGACTTTTATTCAGTAAAAAATTATTGGTGTGATTAGAACCTATTTAGATACTAGGTTTGGGCAAGTGGAACATTTTGGCATTATTTGGAAACCTAATCAGTGTGAAATCAGATTATCTCATTTCAGTTTATTGCAATTTGTTTTTAGCTATATGGTTTTTTAGTAAAGTAACAGAAATGATACACAATATACAGAGTATAGACAAAATCTTGGTGCCTGTAGAGACTCAAATTATAAATGCAGTTTGAAGAATGTGAGAAGAAAAGTGTTCTAAGATTTCATTCAGCCTGATGAATCATTAAATGGGATCATTAGACTGTTTCTCTTTAAAAGAGTTTTACCAAACCAAATATAGGTATTAAATGTAGTCTTCTGCTTATCTGGATTATGAAAGAAAGCTAATGTCCACCTTTTTAAAAACAAAAAACAACTTTTTTTTTTAAAGACTTTATTCTGGCTTTGCAGATTGGATTATTAAAATAGCCCCTAACATGCTGGGCCAGTTGCTCAGTCATTATATGTATATATTTTTTCTAGTTATTGCCTGCATTTCTTGATGCCAAATCAAATATGCAGCATCCGTTTTAAGACTGGAACAAGTATACTTTTAAGTGCATTTCATTTATTGTGTCTGACAAATCTACTAACTGAGGCTTGGCCAATTATGTATGTACATGTGTTTATGTATGTATGTATGTGTTTATATACATACATATGTTCGTATGTATTAAGATTTTTCTCTTCATAAAGAATGCTTTGAGAAAATGTAACATGTATAAGGCAAGTTTAAAACCTGGATTTTAATGCCATGTAGAAGAATGACAGTGTGATTAGGAACCAGTGACTTAAATTGGTGGCTGCTTTGTAAATAATTAGATACCAGTTACCAGGTTTTTTTTTCCTCTGAATTTTAGAACCTGAGGCTAGTATTTCATATCAGGCAGAAATATTTATTCTAGGCAAATTTTTTTGTGTAGAAAACTTTGCATGACCAGTTTGCTGCTCTTACTTGGAAAATAGAGTCTGCCAAGAATGGAAGGTCTGACGTTCCTTATTCAGAGATCATTTTGAAATGTTATATTGTGAAGAAAACATAGACAGGTGGCAATCAAGTACCAGAGCAGTTTTTATTAAAACAAAAGACAAAATCCTCAGTTTGCCTTTATTAGAGCTAAAGTTGTTTGATGTGTCTAAAGAGTATGTATAAAGAAATTATTTTGGGTTGCCTTGAGGAGAACTTGGAGGATGTGGTGGTAATTTTGAATCTCTGTTGGAGATAAATTAATTGCTCTTTGCATAGATGTCTTAAACCAGAAATTGGCTTGTTACATAGCCGTGCAGCTGTGGAGAGATTAAACTGCATTCTGGGTAGCTCAGTCTCCATCAGTTCACTCAATTCATTAGTTAAATGCTCCGAATCTCTAGTTAGAGCTCAGCACTTGAATTCAAGTTCTGCCTTTTATTGCAAATAATATCAATACCTGAAAATCCATTCAGTAAAAGGTAACTGTAAAATTTTGAAGAAATAGATACTCTCCAGCCCTCATTTTCATCTCTTCATTGTGGCTGTTCAACTCTGAACAGTATATAGGAACATAAGAAAACTGTATCTTACGTACATTTAAACAATAGACCAGGGAATACAGAAGTGGAGGCTATGGTGGTCACTTTTCCCTATGCTTTTAAATTCACCTCGATTCTTACCCTTTTTCTTGTCATTTAACTTCTCAGAAAGTTGTTCTGTTACTCTGGAGTGGTTTTCATGTTCAGTTGGCTGCATTTTAACTGAAGTAACTCAACTCATTCCAAAGTTCTTCAAAATTTTGAGCAGGTTTTTGATATTTTCTAGAGGTACTACTAATTCTGTTTCCTTAATATTGACAAGATGTTTTCAGGATTGTTTTTAACTCTTATTTACTCCAAACAGCGTGAAACTATATCCTTTCCTTCAGTCAAAGATAAGAACCTTGGACATGTTTGAACAAATAATGTTGCATACACACAAAAAACAGCTTGTTTTAAAATTATGAAGTTGCAAAGTGCCATGTTGATTGTTTTACACTTGAAATCGTAAAGAAACATATTTGTATTGGTTCCTGTTCTTGTATTTATTTAACCCAGATAGGTATATGTAAAACAAATGGAAAATGAAAATATATAAAAACAAATGGAGATTTGCAAAGATAGTGTTTATTAATTCATTGAACAAGTAGTTGTTGAGCATCGCATTATGTGTCCAGCAGCATTCTAGGTACTAGGTTGTGCTGGTAATCAAATCAGTGCAATGAAACATTTGATTAAAATAATGTGGTTCAGAGTTTGATGAAGTTACGATGTCATGGGAAGACCCCTTTTGAGGTGACTTTGTAACTGAGACCTGAGTGTGCATGTAGATAGCTGAAGAGCGTTCCACACAGAAGAAGCAAAAAGGGAAAAACTTGAAACATGAAAGTTAGTTTACCATTGCCAGCTTCCAAGAGTGTTAGCAGAAATTTTGAGGGATGGAGCCTAGCAGGTTCCTTTTTAACTTTGCTCTCTGTTTTCATTCTGTTCTCTGTTTTCAACTAATGTTATTCTTATGGTAATAAGTATAGTGATAGTTTGCCGCAATGCAATGTAGTTTATTAGTAATTCCAGTGTTACTTTATCCACTAATTTTAATTTCTTTACTTTCAAACCTCCAACTAAAACTGCCCAAGATGAAACCTTATAAAAAAAAAAAAAGGAGACTATAATATCTTAATGTTTACTAAAGTCAGTTTCAAGTGTTTCGTAGAATAATAAGTATTTACAGAGTCAAATGTGCTAGGTGTTTGAGTCATCAGTGTGTTAGTTTTTTTTTTTTTTTTTATTGCAGGGCCTCTCAGATTTTGTTTGTTGAGTAGTGAGCAATAAAAATACCAAAATGTGCAGTAACTCCCTAACTTAATTGACTATAATAATTCCCACCCTTTTTTGAGGTAGCTCATAAAATTAGAATTTGTGGAAAACACTTCGGAGCACTGAGTGCTTAAAAATTTGATTGTATTAAACTCTGGGTCTCACCTTTTATTCAGAATTCTTTTACTGTTTTCAGTTACTCTTCTTGTTACAGGGTAGTAACGTTTAGAAAACATTACCTAGACAGTCATCAAATAAGTTCATTACAGATCTGGGAATTTACTTAAATTGTTAAGAGCTTTGATTATTTGCCTTATCTAATTTATAATCAACATAATATCTGGAATTATTACTAAAATATTAGCTTGTTTTGTTATTTCTTTCCTGGATCACATCCTCCATTTTTGTGTTCATTGATCTAATTTATATGTTATAGCTCTGTATTCCTTTCTTTTAAAAATTGGAATTTATTTTTAGCAATTTTTATAGTTTTAATTTCATCAGACTATTTCATTTTTCCTATGTTGGAATACCTTGGATTATTTCTTATCCTGTCATTTCCAGTACCCTTAAACAATGTTTGTGTTATTCTTAACTATATAGAACAGGCTTCCCACCTGTTTTACCTACTCCCATTGAGAAAAATCTAACTTTAATTTTTCCATTTGAGTTTTTGTACAAAGGATGATGTGAGAAGTTACTTAGGACATTGTCTTCACAATTCTTTGAAATATTTTGAGTCTCCTGGCTGATAACCTGGTGTCCCTAGTTAAAATCTTACTGGTTTTGAATAGGAAAGAGCTCTGAAAGGAGAATCACTAGGCAAAAAAAAAAGGGGGGGGGGGCATATACTTAGTTTCAGTCTTAACTCTCAAATATATGATCACTTTTAACGGAAGCATTCTTCACAAATTCAATAATACTCTTCTAAAGTTGGCTTAAATATAAGTTTAAAAAAGAGCCTTGCTTTCCTTGATTTCTCTTAATACTGCTGACGCTGGAATATTTCAAAATGGACTTTACTAATTATTTATGAGAAACAAAGAGCTAATTATAGAAATATACAGAGTAGTCTGATCAGGTTTCAGAAACTCAAGTTTCTGACTGTTACGATAATGTTCATGTCTCAAATGGCTGACAGTACATAGCATTTTATCTGTCCTATTTTGTTCCTGGCTTTTTATCTTAAGGTAACAGGAGCTATATTATTTCTCTCAGTAGGAGAATGATCTACTCAGACATCCAGTTCCTCATTGGGAATGCCCCATATCCTTTAAACTATTTTTCTTGTTCAAATACCTAGACCTCCTGTGGTTCTTGCTCTCTGTTCTAGTTTTCTAGAAGTGCAGACATACCTCGTGTGGGGATTGTGACATGGGCTCAGAAAGCCCATGGGCTTATCAACTCATTTCAGTTGTGGGATGTTTTATCAGATAAACGAGTCTTTCCCTTACATACAAAGAAATAACTTTGTAACAGTTTGCCCATTATGATTCAACTTACATAGAAACCATCTCTGACAACACTTATAAGTTAATTTTGTAACGTAGAGTAGTTATTTTGTGTTGAGATCCAATTCCTGCCACAACCACTTGAGAGATGCAGCAGAATGCCCTGGTGGAAGCAAACTGAAGCATGAGTGGACAAGATCCTCTGACAAAAAGGAGTTAGCTATGATTTCATGCCCCTGACCTTTTAAGTCCAAGAAGGATCAAGCTCCTCTGAATTAAAACTAGCCAGATTGATCTAACTACATCAAGGCAAAGCCCCCTTTAGCTTCAGTGCAAGTAATTCTTAGAGGTAACTGTGGTTCTGTCCTCTGCCTGCCTACCTCATTGCTGTTTTGATCCCAGTTAATCTCCCAACTTGTATCCTAGCTTCTTTGTAATTTTGCCTCTTTTGAGAATTTCTAAACCCTATTTTCTTTACTGTGACTCTCCCTAAACTCTTGTATCACTTATCTATTGCCATGTAACCTTCCAAAAGTTCAATAGTTTAAAATACAGAA